TCACCACCATCCTTTTTTCCCCCCAGGCCCCTGCAGGCTCCCAGCCCGTGGCTCCTCTTGCCACCAGCCCCTACCTGGAGCGGCCTTCGGACAAAGGGAATTTGGCTTTCAGCGCTGACTCCCTTGCAGGTCAGTGAGAGCCACTGGGGGCACACAGGGAGGCACGGGGGGCACACAGACCCATCCTCTGCCACCCCAGGGACCCCAGGCTTGCTGCTGATGCCACCATGCTGGGCTGGGGGGTGGCACAGAGCTCCTCTGTCCCACAGAGTCCGGTGACCGCTCCGTGGACTCTGATTCAGAGCTGGAGGACAGCGGGGAGCCACGGACACACCTGACCAAGCAGGGCAGTGAGACCAGCACGGAATGTGACGAGGAGGGGCTGCGGAGCCGGAGCTGCAGCGTGGGCCAGTCCGATGATGCAGAGGGCTCTGCTGCCGAGGAGCAAAGCAATCTGGAGGAACAGGCTGAGAGCAGGGATGGCACCACCCAGCCTGGCACCTCTGCCACCCCCAGGGATGGCACCAACTAGCCCAGCACCTCTCGGAGCCACAGCAGCCACGAGCTGCAGCCCTGGCTCATCTAAGGTACCCCAGACACTGGGATAGACAAAGGAGCAAATCTCCATGGCTGCCCAGAGGCTGGAAACTGGAATGTGGAGAGGTGGGAAGGACATGGGGCAGCCCAGGGGGGTTTGGTGTGTCAGCTGCAGGTGAGTCCTGGCTGGAGCTTGCACACAAAACCCCTGAGCCCCTCAGTGCCCAGCTGGAGAACAGGGTCACAGCCAGGGCCATGAAGGATTTTTGTCTGGGAGGGAGCTGAGTTTGGGCAAACCCTTGTTCAGGATTGGGAAGGAACCCAGGGCTGTGCCTGTGGCAGGTGCTTTATTGCTGTTGTGCTCCCAAATCCCTGAATGCCACACCTGTGCTGTGAGATCGAGGTTGGAGGAGTCAAAGGACCTGCTCATCCCTGCTGGCTGAGGCTGGAAGGGAGCCAAGGCTTCCAGGAGTGACATGGGAACAAAAATCACTCAGGATGGGCAGGATGACACAAAATGGGCAGGATGAAACCACAGGAGCAGATGGAACTGAAGGCACCTCACAGGACAGGGACACAGCTGGAGCAGTGCTGGGCTTGGGGTGAAGCCCCTGCACCTTCTCACCCTGAGCCAGGCTTGGCTTTGGGGCTGTGCCAGGATCTCAGGGATGTCCCTCACTGACACCTGATTTAAGCAGGGATCAGGATGCATTTCCTGCCTCAAAACCTCAGCACTGTGGCCCAGGTGATGGCATCTTCATCACTGTTTGGGTTGCCAGGCATTTGGATTGACAGGATTTGGGTTGGTGGGCATTTGGATCGGTGGGCATTTGGATCGGTGGGCATTTCCCTCCTTGGCAGGAGACATGCAAGGAGCAGCCTTAGGGCAGATTTGCCAGGCTGCAACGTCCTGAGCCCTGCTGAGCTCTCATGGTTTGATTTTATAGTAATTTCATCTCCAAAAAGCTGCACTGCAAGTCCAGGACAATCTCCCTCTGCTCTTGCAACTCTTCCCAAGAGGAAGTGCCTCTTCCTCCTCCTCCTCCTCAGGGCCACCAGGGCCTGGATCCAGCACAGCCCCAGCCAGTATAATCTTGAGCTTCCTTTCCTTTTCTGTAAAGACATTAATCAACCCTTCAACGTGACTCCACTACCTCTGCTGGCTAAGGCACTAAACCAAAGTGGTTTCAGTGTTTTTTTTAAAGCTATGAGAATTTTCCTGCACTGAGGCACAGAGAGATAAGTTGAGTTTTAGCTTGGAATGAGCTGAGAGCCTTTTCCCTCGTTCTCCTGCTTGTGGGAGACAGAGCAGGTTGTGTTGGGAGGGTCTCAGATACCTTGGTACTGCAGAACCAGGCAATGGAAAGGAGCTTTGAGCCCTCTGAAGTCGATGGAGAACCCATCTCAGCAAAGGTACAGAAACCCAGGTTAACTCACAGGTTTGGAACTGAGCCAGGGAAGAGCTGGACACCTGCAGGATTGGTTGTGCCCTCCAGCTCTTCCAGAGATTAGGATTTTTCAGGGGAACAGCTGGATTTTTCCAGGGCAGCAGGAGGACGTGGGAATGCTGCTGCCACGGCGGTACCGCGTGCGTGTGAGGGTGGGTGAGGATGATGAGGGTGAGTGTGAGTGAGAGAAGGAGCTAAAGCTGCACTAGAGCTTCCCACAACAGCAGCTCCCTCCAGGTTGTGTGGATTCTGTGTTTATCCTGATGCTGTACAATGCTGCCTTGCTGTGTTCATATTGACAAGCTTCCCAAAAAAAACCAATAAAACCAGTGTGTTCTGACATGTGTTTGTCCTGGGCAGCATGGTTTTCCAGCCAAATCCAAGTGTTTGTGGCACAAAAAATGAAGTTTAAAGCACCCCAGAGTCCTGGGATGAATTGAAATGAGTGCAGCTGAAGGTGATGAGCAACTCTCCATCAGTGTCTGAACAGCAGGGTCCCAAACCAGATCAGGGAAGGAAGGAGTTAAATCTGAACTTCCAAACTGCCCAGAGGAACCAGTGAAATCTCTGCAGGGCTCAGCCACAGTGCAGAGTCTTGGCAGGAAAAGATTCCAAAAGTAATGAAAACTATGGGAACTTGCAGAGTGTTGAGGCTTTGCCACAGGGACAGGCTGAGCAACACTGCAGCACTGAGGGTACAAAGCTTTATTTCAAACAAGAGCCCAGGAAACAGGGAAGCAAAAGGCTTTCCCCACTTGTTTTCTCCCATGGCTGAGTCCTGGGTGGGACTGAGGGGTCACCACAAAGTCCAAGCTGGAAGACAAGGAATGAGGCCCAGGGATGGGGCTGCAGAGAGGCAGTGTGGGAATTTCCTTGGATTTCCTTGGCCATCTCTGAAGTGCAGGAATCTCCAAGAGCCCATGAACTGCTGGTGGGAGCCACACAGCTCCTCACACCTGGAAGAGAAGGAGGGATGGGAATCATCTCCTGCTCCAGGTCCCTCTGAACACCCCAAATCTGCACAGCCTGAGCAGAGGTACAGGTGCCAGGGGAGCCTCACCCTGCTCTCCCCATCAGCTCCCTCCATGAGCCATTTAAATCTCTGACATGTTTCCCTGGAGGCAGCTGCTTCACACTGAGCTTGGAACATCCCCTGGCACTGCCCAGAGCCCTCCCAAGCAAGGGTTCCCCTCATCCTTACCCACTGTGTCACTGCACCAGTCTGTAGGTGATGTACCTGCCCGCTGTCTCGCTGGGCCTGATGATCTTCACTACCTGCAAGGCAGACACAGAGCTCAGCAACAGGAGGAGGAGGAGACACTTTTCCTGCTCCAAAATACCCCCAAGGATCATCCCCTCCCTGCCCTGCCCCAGGAGCTGCTGCCTCAGCCTGCTCCCCTCACCTGGCCACGCTTTATCCCGAAGTAGCGAGCCACAGGGTCCCCAGCCTGGATCCTGGGCAGCTGGTTCTCCCTCAGCTTGCTGTGCTGGGAGTCAAGGAGAAGCTCTGACACACCACGGGCCGCTGGCAGCTCACAAAACAGAAATAAATCATGGCAGGAGGAGGGGTTTTCAGCCCAGATTCCATCTCACCTGAACAGGATGGAGGGACACACAAAGGGACACTCAAAGGATACTATCGGGCCAGCAGCTCTGTCACCTCCTCCTTTGTCATAACCACATGCTCTGGCACCAGCTGCAAACACAAGAGAGGCTGAGATGAGGGAGCAGCTGGAGACAACGTGTTTGGGAGGGGAAAAGGAAAACTGTGTCCCTCAGCCCAGACAGAGACCAGGAGAAGGACTTTGGGAGCAGCAGGAATGCAGCCAGCAGAAAGGAAGGGACCATCCTAGGCTGTGGTGTTGTGAGGGGCCCCAGGATGAGGTGAGGGATGAAAATTGACTCCAAGTTCTCAGAAGGCTGATTTATTATTATATTAATTATATATTTTGTATTAATTATATATTATTATATTCTATATACTATGTACTACATTATAAATTTTAATACTGTATAAATTATATATTATGCATTGTAAAATTATGTTATATAATATATAATGCTATACTAATTATATATTATATTATATTATATTATATTATATATTAATATTATAGATTATGTATTATATACTACATTATATATATTATAGATTATATATATAATAGATTATATTATATTATATATATTATAGATCATATTATATTCTAAAACTATACTAAAGAAAGAGAAAGGAGACATCAGAAGGCTGGACAAGAATTATCATAAAAACCCATGAGAGACTCAGTCTGACACAGCTAGCTTTGATTGCTCATTAATTAAAAACAATTCACATGGAATTAATCAAAGATGCACCTGTTACTAAGCAACCTCTAAACCACATTCCAAGCAATCAGATAATTATTGTTTTCAAATATTGGGGTTTTTTCTGAGGCTTCTCAGCTTCTCAGGAGAAAAAAACTCCTGGCAAAGGGATTTTTCATAAAATATCATGGTGACAATCCCACCCCCTGCTCACCTCATGCTCTGTGATGTTGATGAGAAGCTCCTGCTGCAGGAACTGCTCCAGGATGTACTTGGGAGCCATGTCAACCAGGGACTGGAAGGAAAAATCCCATCAGAGGTGGCTGGGGCAGCCCTGGCAGGGCTCAGAGCTGCACCTGGGCTCACACAGATACAGGCAGGCTGGGAATGAGCCCATGGATCTCCTGGAATAGGGAAATATCTCTTTTTCCCTCCCCTTCCTGACTGTCTGTAGGTCCTCAGCTGTGCCACTGCCACCAAGAGCTACTGCTCTGCTTGAACACATTTGGGTGCTAAAAATGAGCCTGTGCAAAGGCACAACAGGCTCTAGCAAAACCTTTTCTCTGGAGAGAAACTCAGGGCTTTTATTTACCCAGAAACAGACAAGGAAAACCTCCACAGCCCCTGAGGGTGACACAGACCTGCTTGGCCGAGGGGGTCATTCCCTGCTGCACCACGATCAGCGCCCGGGTGATGTTCTCCTCCTGCATGCGCTGGCAGTACATCTTGATGGTCTTGATGCCCACCTTGGGCTCCTCTGAGGAGGAAAGAGCCACACCTGGGGTCACTGACAGCCCTCGGAACTCCCCTCCCCGGGGGCTCAGCTCCGAACCTGCCTTGAAGGCAAAGGCGGGCCCCGGCTCACCGAGAGCCTCCCCAGACCCCGCGGGCCGCCGCTGCTCACCGGGGAAGAACACGAACATCTGATCCGTGGGATCATCGTTGTGAGCCACCAGCACGGTCAGGTCGGTGCGACGGGGGCGGCCCTCGCTGGGTTTGTCCCCGAACTGCGCCTTGAACTCCTCCAGGGTCTGATCCAGCTCGTCCTGGGTCACCAGGTACCCGCGGTCGTGGCATAGCTGCGG